GACAGTGAGAGAGAGAGACAGAGAGAGAAAGGTCTCTTTTTGCGTTGGTTCACCCTCCAATTGCCGCCGCTGCAGCCGGCGCACCGTGCTGATCCGAAGGCAGGAGCCAGGATCCAGGTGCTTTTCCTGGTCTCCCATGGGGTGCAGGGCCCAAGCACCTGGGCCATCCTCCACTGCACTCCCTGGCCATAGCAGAGAGCTGGCCTGGAAGAGGGGCAACCGGGACAGAATCCGGCGCCCCAACCGGGACTAGAACCCGGTGTGCCGGCGCCGCAAGGTGGAGGATTAGCCTATTGAGCCACGGCGCCGGCTGAAATGGCACTTTCTATACAAGGATAGAAACTCCTCCAAAGACAGTCTTTGGCCAGATGTTTTAATGGAAGAAGTTGTTCTCTGCTTGGAGAAGGCCCATTAAAAAGAGATTATTTTGCACATTGCACATTTAGTCTATGTGGTTTACTTCGGATGCTGTAGATCCTGCTATACAGGGAAAGTGTTTGTTGACATTTCACCCAGCAATGTAAGAAAACAGGAGGCATTGGGGGGAGGGGCTCTTTTACTACTTTGATGAGGAAAATTACTTGATTTTAAGTATTAAGTAAGAAAGCATAGGGAGCAAATTTAAAGAACTGTAGAATGTACAGATACCTTATCCGTTGTCTTGGAACTCTGGAGAGAAATAAGGGCATGTTCTTGAGTTTTCCATCCTCTCTCCTCCGAGAAAGCACTTGAAGTAAATCACAGTGATGGGCTTTAGGTCCTAAGCAGCAGTTATTTCAGTGCTTTGAAGCTGCAAAGAAAGATTGATGGCCACTACTCCTGTCACACTTTTAGGCTATACTGAGCCTTATTCTCTCCCATTTTGTCCTATTTTGCAGCAATATTTTAAAACCTGGATAGCTTAAGTCCAGAGCTAGTTTAAAAATACGTGCGTCACTGCTGCTTTCTGATCAAATTTGCCTCCCCAGGTCCATGGATTTGAACTTACCCACTCTTCTGTACAGGAAAGAGTTTACCTTATAGGAAACTCTGGGAGCTTTAACAAAGCATAGCATAGTTAATATTAATTAATATTAATATTTAAATTGGTCAAAGAAAGTGCTTCTCAAGAGTGTGGGTTCTCTTGTACCACTTTCATTAGAATCACCCAGTTATTGTTAAAATGCAGGTTTCTAGGCTCCATCTCTAGTGTGCACACTGAAATTGGAAGCATACATGGCCTCATGTTCAGTGCTTTTTTTTTTTTTAAGGGAGGAAAGAGCATTTTGAAAATGTGTAAAGCATAATTCCCGCCCTCGAATATTAGTCTCTTTTGATTTAAGACATTTAAACAAATAGTATACTAATACAGGTGATGTCACAGTGCACGTCAAGATTACCCCAGTTGGGTCTGGTACTGTGGTGTGGTAGGCTAAGCCTCCACCTGCAGTGCTGGCATCCCATATGGGAGCGAGTTTGTGTGTCCCAGCAGTTCCTCTTCCAATCCCACTCTCTGCTTATGGCTTGGGAAAGCGGTTGAAGATGACCCAAGTGCTTGGACCCCTGCACCCACGTGGGAGACCTGGAGGAGACTCCTGGCTCCTGGTTTCTGGCTTCAGATCAACTTAGCTGCAGGCATTGCGGCTATCTGGGGAGTGAACCAGCAGATGGAAGACCTTTCTCTCTGTCTCTCCCTCTCTCTGTCTGTAACTCTACCTCTCAAATAATTAAATAAATTTTAAAAAATAAATGATTACCCCAGTTAGACTTATTTAAAATTTTTTGTTTCAGATATACTTACTTTAAAACTTAGTAATTTTTAAAGCATTTATTTATTTATTTATTTATTTATTTCAGAGAATTTCAAAGAGAGGGAGAGACAGAGAGAGAGCTCTTCCATCCACTGATTCATTCCCCAGATGACCCTAATAGCCAGGGCTGGGCTGGGCCAAAGCCAGGAGCTTTTTCCAGGTCTTCCACATGGGTAGCAGGGCCCCAAGCACTTAGGCCATCTTACACTTCCTTTTCCAGGCCATTAGCAGGGAGCTGAATCAAAAGTGGAGCACCTGGGACATGAACTGGCTCCCATATAGGATGCTAGCTAGCAATGCAGGCAGCTGCTTTACCCACTACACCATAGTGCCAGCCCCAAACTTAGCATTTTTTAGAAAAACTAAGTATTTCATAGCTTAAATTTAAATTAGGATAAATTAGAATTAGAATTGGGAAGCTACTGTCATTATTGTTAAAAGGAGCAAAAAAAATTCCAGAATTACACAGTTTTATATATAAATAATTTATGAGCAATTTATGAGTAATGGAGCTAATACTAAGCTTGCTAGTCTTCCATCTTACCTGAGTTGTACTTTGTTAGCCACATGTGGCTGTTTATATTACAATGACATAATATTTAAAATTCACCTTTTTGTTGTATTAGCCATCGTGCAGGTGCTCAAGAGCCATGGTAGATGGCGTATTGGACAGTGTATAGAATATTTGCATCATTGCAAAAAGTTATATTGGACAGTGGTACTTTAGAAGGTCCCTAAGATTTCTGTCTCTGCGAAGATTCCATTGGTTTTTCTGCTTTCTCACCCTTTAAGTAAACGATTGATTCCTGGGGATATTTTGGTTTGTTTTCTTCTGATCTTTCCCCTTTTTTGGTCGCTCTGTTCACAGGTCAATACTTCTGCGAAGGCTTTGTAGCCTGATGGGCACTGTATTCTTGCTTCGCTGCTTTACCATGTTTGTGACCTCCCTCTCCGTGCCAGGACAGCATCTGCAGTGTACTGGAAAGGTAGCCTGCTACCTTCTTGATCTTCTCTTGTTCCTCATGCAGTGATGGCACAATATATGCAGTAATGCTAAAAGTTTGCTTTTAGTATTAAAATGTGCTTTTTGGTATTTGCTATCTCTTTTTTGTTTTGTTTATTTATTTGAAATACAGAGTTCACAGAAAGAAAGAGAGGCAGTGGGAGGGAGAGAGAGAGAGAGAGAATGAGAGAGAGAAAGAGAGAGAGAGATCGGCCATCCACTGGTTCACTCCCCAGATGGCCTCAATGGCCAGAGTTGGGCTGGTCTGAAGCCGGCCTGGAGCCAGGAGCTTCTTCTGGGTCTCTCACATGAGTACAGGGTCCCAAGGAGTGGAGCTGTCTTCTGCTGCTTTATCAGGCACAGTAGCAGGGAGCTGGATCAGAAGTGGAACAGTCAGGTCTCAAACTGGTACCTGTGTGGGATGCCAACATCACAGGTAGCAGTTTTACCAATGCACCACAATGCCGGCCCCAGCTCTAATGAACCTCCAGAAGCAAATTGGTAAAACTGTGAAGCCAGAATCACATCTTTGTGTTGTTTGTCTCCGTTGACACTAGTTGTGTGCTGTGGAGCTATAGAAAAAGTTTCCTTTTTTTGTTTTCCCTTTCCCCCAATCCTCAACATCTTTACTGCTTCTTGGGCTCGCTCTGATCCTTTGAATGTCCTCATCACTCCTTTTATTAGAAAATGTTGTTGTGTGACCATATCCTATCTAAAAATTGGTACCCAGTGCTCTAAAGTTTGCTCTTTTCTGGGATAGAGAAAACAGTGATGGGTTTTGTTTTTGTTTTGTTTGTTTTTAAAGATTTATTTTATTTATTTAAAAGAATTGCAGAGAGAGGCAGAGACAGAGAGGTCTTCCATCTGCTCATTCAATCCCCAGATGGCCACAACAGCTGGAGCTGCGCCGATCCAAAGCCAGGAGCCAGGAGCTTCTTCTGGGTCTCCCACGTGTGGGTGCAGGGGCCCAAGCACTTGGGCCATCTTCTACTGCTATGCCAGGCCATAGCAGAGAGCTGGATCAGAAGAGGAAAAGGGCCGGCACCGCGGCTCAACAGGCTAATCCTCCACCAGGTGGCGGCACACCAGGTTCTAGTCCCGGTCGGGGCACCGGATTCTGTCCCGGTGCCCTTCTTCCAGGCCAGCTCTCTGCTATGACCCGGGAGTGCAGTGGAGGATGGCCCAAGGGCTTGGGCCCTGTACCCCATGGGAGACCAGGAGAAGCACCTGGCTCCTGCCTTCGGATCAGCGCGGTGTGCCGGCCGCAGCGCGCCAGCCGTGGCGGCCATTGGAGGGTGAACCAACGGCAAAGGAAGACCTTTCTCTCTGTCTCTCTCTCTCTCTCACTATCCACTCTGCCTGTCAAAAAAAAAAAAAAAAAAGAAAGAAAAAGAAGAAGAAGAAGAAGAAAAGGAGCAGCTGGGCCTAGAACCAGCACACATATGGAATGCTGGCGCTTCAGGCCAGGGCTTTAACCCGCTGTGCCACAGTGCTGGCCCCATGTTTTTGTTTTAAACTTTGTAGCTTGTTATATTGATATAAGGTAGACATATGTCTTCAGGGTAAACCAAGAAAAGAGAAATATGAACAACAAAAACTAAGAATTACTTTTTTGTTATATAAGACTTTGAAAATCTCTACTTGATGTATGAAATTGGCTCTTGTGACAGGTTTGGACACTTTATCTTAGTTTTCTAAGCCTCTGTGCTTTAGTTCTGTGCTCCCAAATATTGAGATGTATCTACTAACACCTTTGTTGTCTGTTGATACTATTTGGAAACAAATTTAAGTGTCAGTTCTTGTAGTGTTATATAAATAACTGAAATGCCAACTAGGGAAGATTAAGCACCAGAAGGAGATCAGACCTAAAAATAAATCCTTGAGCTAAAGGATGACAAAACTTTCTCTGGGTATTAGGAATGCTCTGACTGACAGGAGGAAAGGGCAAGGAGTGAATATGTCATTTAAGATTTAATGTAAGTGGAAGGTTTTATTTTTAGGGTATAGGCTACTTAGGTTTGCTGTGTGGTTTTTCCCCTCATTTTCCAAAAGGAAAAAACAATTATTTTGTTTTTTTAAAAAGTTTTTTTAATTAATTTATTTATTTGAAAGAGTTACACAGAGAGAGGAGAGGCAGAGAGAGAGGTCTTCCATCCAGTGGTTCACTCCCCAGTTGGCTGCAGCGGCTGGAGCTGCGCTGATCCAAAGCCAGGAGCCAGGAGCTTCTCCCAGGTCTCCCACATCGGGGCAGGGCCCCAAGGAGTTGGGCCATCTTCTACTGCTTTCCCAGGCCATAACAGAGCTGGATCGGAAGTGGAGCAGCCGGGTCTTGAACTGGCGTCCATATGGGATGCCAGCACTTCAGGCCAGGGCATTAACCTGCTGCACCATAGCACTGGCCACAGTTTTTTAAAAAGTTTTTAATGATTGGAACAAAAAAATCGAAAATTAGGGGCCAGTGCTGTGGCATAGCAGGTAAAGCTGTGGTTAAGTGTAGGCATCCTGTATGGGTGCCAGTTCGAGTCTCAGCTGCTCCACTTCTGATCCAGCTCTCTGCTATGGCCTGGGAAGGCAGTAGAAAATGGCCAAGTGCTTGGGTTCCTGTACCCATGTGGAGACCTAGAAGAAGCTCCAGGCTGCTGGCTTTGGATTAGCTTAGCTCTGGACCTTTTGGGGAGTGAACCAGCAGATGGAAGACTCTCTCTCTCTCTGCCTCTCTGTAACTTTACCTTTCAAATAAACAAATAAATCTTTAAAAAATGTATCTAAAATTACAGCTTCTGGAAGAACCATTTGTTCTTGTGGTCTTGTACCTCTCTTCAAAATTGGCCTTGGCCTCTTGGGCCTTTGTGTTTAAGAGCAGGGTTTCTGAAGACAGCCTTGTTACCCTTGTTTTGTCCAAGGTAGTATCCACAGAGTACATGATGGGCATGAGATGATTATAGTTATAAACTTGACATAAGACTTGATTTTTGACCTCTTGGCAATTTTCTTCTTGCCCATGGCAACTGTCACTTTATAGGGACCATGCTCAGTTCTGACTGTAGGGGAGATCTGAGGTGCTGTCATCAGTGTTCTTCATGATGACAGCTTTGTGTCCCAAGTAGTGTCCAGCTAGGACTAATACAACCTTCCCAGGATTCATGAACTTGCTTATTTTAACAGCTTCCACTTGGGCCTACAGCATAGCACATAATATTTTAAAATTGTATATTATTATTTAAAAAATTCTAATTACATAGAAATATATACATTAAGAAGTAAAAGCTGGAGCTGGCGTCGTTATGTAGCCCGTTACAACTGCTTGCGATGCTGGCATCCCGTATCAGAGCACCAGTTTGAGTTCTAGCTTCCCTGCTTCGTATCCAACTCTCTATTAATGTGCCTGGAAAAGCAACAGATTGTGGCCCAAATACTTGGGCCACTGCCACCATGTAGGAGACCTGGATGGAATCCAGGCTCCTGGCTTCAGCCTGGCCCAGCCTTGGCTGTTGGTGCCATTTGGAGAGTGAAATAGTGATTAGAAGATCAATCCATCTCTGTCACTCTGCCTGTCAAATAAATAAGATAAATCTTAAGGAAAAAATAATGGTAAAAGCCCGCATAATTTCCTTTTTTTCATCACATACCACATTGAATAATGCTGTTATTATTGTTAAATGAAAGATAAGATTATGAAGCAGATGTTCTAGCATAGCATGTCAACCTCTGCCTGCAACACCAGCATCCTATAGAGCGTCTGTTTGAGTCCAGGCTGCTCCACTTCCAGCTCCCTGGTAATGTGCCTGGGAAAGCAGCAGAAGGTGACCCACGAGGTTGGGTGCCTGCAACCCACATGGGAGACCCAGGTGAAGCTCCTGACTCCTGGTTTTGACCTGGCCCCAACGCATCCATTAGTGTCATTTGGGGAAAAATGGTTAAGATTATATTGTAGATACTGTTTTCTGTTTTTATTTTTAAAATATTTTTAAAATTTATTTGAAAGGCAGAGGCAGAGAGAGAAAGAGAAAGTCTTTTGTCTGCTGGTTCACTCCCCAAATGGCTGCAATGGCTGGAGCTGAGCTGATCTGAAGCAAGTAGCCAGGAGTTTCTTCCGGGTCTCCTACATAGGTGCAGGGGCCCAAGGACTTGGGCCATCTTCTACTGCTATCCCAGGCCATAGCAGAGAGCTGGATCACAAGTGGAGCAGCGGCTGGCGCCACGGCTCACTAGGCTAATCCTCCGCCTGCGGCACTGGCACTCTGGATTCTAGTCCTGGTTGGGGCACTGGATTCTGTCCTGGTTGCTCCTCTTGCAGTCCAGCTCTCTGCTGTGGCCTGAGAAGGTAGTGGAGAATGGCCCAGGTGCTTGGGCCCTGCACCTGCATGGGAGACCAGGAGGAAGCACCTGGCTTCTGGCTTTGGATTGGCGCAGCGCGCCAGCCATAGCAGCCATTTGGGGGGTGAACCAACGGAAGGAAGACCTTCCTCTCTGTCTCTCTCTCACTGTCTAACTCTGCCTGTCCAAAAAAAAAACACAAGTGGAGCAGCTGGGATTCGAACCAGTACCCATATGGGATGCTGGCGCTGCATGCAGCAGCTTTACCTACTATGCCACAGCGCCAGCCCGGAGATTTATTTATTTATTTAAAGACAAAAAGAGACATCTCCATCCACTGCTTTACTCTCCAAATGATGACAATAGCCAGGGCTGGACCAGGTCAAAACCAGGAGCCGGGAACTCCATCTTGGTCTCCCACATGGGTGGCGTGGGCCCAACCACTTGGGCCATCTTCTGCTGCTATCCTAGACAGGAAGCTGGATCTGAAGTTGAGCAGCTGAGACTCAAACCCACACTCCAGTATGGAATTCTGGTGTTTCAGGCAGCTGCTTAACTCATAGCACCACAGTGCTGGCCCCTAGACATTGTTTTTAAAGATTTATTTATTTATTTGAGAGGCAGAGTTGAGAGAGATACAGAGAGACAGGTCTTCTATTCGCTGGG